GCAGCGGCCAGTTTGCGGTGGTCCGGCGGTGTCGTCGGCGGAGCACGGGCGCCGAGTACGCCGCCAAGTTCATCAAGAAGCGGCGCAGCAAATCCAGCCGGCGCGGCGTGACGCGGGAGGACATCGAGCGCGAGGTCGACATCCTCAAGGAGATCCGCCACCCCAACATCATCGCGCTGCACGAGGTCTTCGAGAACAAGGCCGACGTCATCCTCATCCTGGAGCTGTGAGTTCGGCGAAAGAAAAAAAACATCTAATGACCAAAACTCATTTCTACTCTGAGACAAAAAGATGTCGTCTTCCAAAATTAAAGTCGTACCATGTCGGGGGGTGGTAGGGGGTGGTCTCCTAAAATTCTGATCATGTGTCAACGTTAACGGACCCGTGATGTGCCGTCGCCCGTCCTTCTTTGAATTGCACGAACAGGGTCGGACACGGCCAACACTGGCGGAGGGCTGTTATAAACAAGCCATACATGAACAGACTTTGTGGATGGCTTGTTTATAGCAGCCCTCCAATATGGCCGCCGGTAGTGCATTGTGGGTAATTGCTAAAAGGACGGCGCCCTCTACTGGAGGCATTTTGATACATATTGATCTGGAATTATCAACCAGCCCTGTGACAAATCATATTTTTTGTTTTGTGGAATATTGGAGGGCTGTTATAAACAAGCCATACATGAACAGACTTTGTGGATGGCTTGTTTATAGCAGCCCTCCAATATGGCCGCCGGTAGTGCATTGTGGGTAATTGCTAAAAGGACGGCGCCCTCTACTGGAGGCATTTTGATACATATTGATCTGGAATTATCAACCAGCCCTGTGACAAATCATATTTTTTGTTTTGTGGAGGACCCGTTTTATTTTTGGAAGGGGGGGCAGGGGGCGGGGGTGTACTATTCCATCTGAATTCAGCTCAAATGTTTCCTTCAAGCACCTTAAATGCAAAGACACCCGCCGCAAGGAGCTTTGAGGCGTGGCACTCGATATCGACGCCTTGGTGAGGCACAACGTCCATCGCAGGGCCGGCGAAGAGCGACTTTGACCGCCCCGCCCTCCGATGCCAGACGCGTGACGAGAGGGGCTGCCCCGGCCTCCGTCTCAAAAGAGATGAACGGCTTTTCCCTTTTCTGTTCAGCGTGGCCGGCGGAGAACTCTTCGACTTCCTGGCGGAGAAAGAGTCGCTGAGCGAGGAGGAAGCCACGCAGTTCCTCAAGCAGATCTTGGACGGAGTCTTGTACCTGCACTCCAAAGGCATCGCTCACTTTGACCTCAAGGTAACGCGACCCCCTTCTTCAAGGAAGACCGTTTGATGACGCAAGGTGTCGTGCCTTTTCAGCCGGAGAACATCATGCTGCTGAGTCGCTCGGCGCCTCACCCGCGCATCAAGCTCATCGACTTCGGCCTGGCGCACAAGATGGACTTTGGCAACGACTTCAAAAACATTTTCGGAACGCCCGAGTTTGTCGGTCAGTGTCCGCACGCGCTCGCGTCTCCGCCGTTTCTTGTCGTCTCTGCGAGCGCCGCGGAAGCTTTGCCTTGCTCCCAACCAAAAATGAGGCGCTTGCACGCCTTTTCTGGTGACAGACGTGTCCGCCAAATTCCGCGCTGCCGTGGGGGCTGAATTTTCAAATATATGACTTTTGTCTCGAAATGCGGAAATTGGCGCGCCGGGCCCCGTTTTGGTGATGTCATTGTAGACAGAAGTGCAAGTGGCTCATCCTAATTGTTGGCGCGTTGTCCTTGCAGCTCCTGAGGTGGTGAACTACGAGCCGCTGGGCTTGGAGGCGGACATGTGGTACCTGAGCAAACACAAACACCCTCCCCCACCCCACCCCCCCTTGACGCCATTGAACATGCGCGCTTCAATCAACGTTTCCTCTTTCTCCCTGCAGGAGCGTTGGCGTGATAACGTACATTCTGTAAGTCGTCCACACTTCCACACTTAGTTTCATAGGAATCGAGGCTTTTTTTTCTTTCCCCCTCTCTTCGGAACTGTACTCGTTTTTCGGAATATTTCAAATGTTTTTTCCTTATGAAGTCACGCCCCAAATATTCCCGATGAACAAATCACGCCGACTGACATGAAAAATGTCAATTGTTCCAGAAAAAAAAAAAATCGCTTTTTATGCTTCTGGTAAAAAAAAAAAAACAGGTTGTAGAAAGCCGTGCACAAGTCTGGCTGGTCAGTGCAGGTTTGCATGACAGAGCGGCGATTTTTTTTGGGTTCTTCCTACGCACAAATCTGTACCGTCGCGGCATCCATTCCGTTCCCACCTGGGGCCCCTCAAGCCTTTTTTCCCGTCACACGAGGCGCCTCGCGAGTCCGGTCCCGAGCTTTGCCGTCCTCTTGACGGTCTGTCTTTTTGCCGCGGCGCGATCAGGCTGAGCGGCGCGTCGCCCTTCCTGGGCGACAACAAGCAGGAGACGCTGGCCAACGTGTCGGCCGTGGACTACGCGTTGGACGACGACTTCTTCGGCGGCACCAGCGCCCTGGCCAAAGACTTCATCGCCAGGCTCCTGGTCAAAGACCCCAAGTACGTGCACGTCCCCGGAAAACAAAATTCTCATTTTAACTTCTGCTCCAAACCAAAGGGCAAAGTCTCCACCCGTTTCTTTTACCGCCGCCCGAAAGCTGGTGTCGCGAAACGGAAGGAATCTACATTGAAGAATAGAAACGTTTTTTGCGAGAAGAAAATGTCTGCGATGAACAAAAATGATCCTGTCATTCAAATGGGACATTTTCATTGCATTTATGAAGTACCGCATATTGAATATTATACATCGTGCGTTGAGAGCCATCACTGTCCTGAGACGGGCGGGACGGGCGACGGCAAGCCTAATTTGGGGCGTTTCCAGAAGAAAAGAATCGGCTCGCTCGCTCTCTCGGGAAATGATGAGAAGAGCAAACAAACAAACAAATTGCTCTTTGTGTTCCAACGTGCGTGAGCGAGAAAGTCGGGCGATTGCAAACGAGGAAGGCCAATGCTGTGGCGCGTTGTGTTGCCAGAAAGCGGATGAGCGTTCAGGACAGCCTGCGGCACCCCTGGATCCAGGTGACAAAGCTCCGCCCGCCACGTGGCCGCCGCGCGGATCCCCCCCGAGCGGCCGTCCCAACGCCGCCATCTTCGCTTTGCTTTTGTTTGTCTCCCGACCAGCCCAAAGACACGCGGCAGGCGCTGAGCAGGAAAGAGTCGGCGGTCAACATGGAAAAGTTGAAAAAGTTTGCCGCCCGAAGAAAATGGAAAGTAAGTGTGCGCTCGTGCTCCGCCGCTTCCGACCCGGGCCTCGGCGGGCCCCGAGCGCCGGGATGCCGTTCTCTGCCACCTTCCGGACTTGCCTCTTGGAGAAATGCTCATTTCTCCATTGCGCTTTTTTTTTTTTTGTCCCAACTCTTCAAATGGAGCTTTCATTTCTCATCAGTCTTTATTTCTTCTCGAGTTGTTTTCTTTTTTTCCTCACGAAAGGATTGCTTTCTGTCTCTTGTCGCCTTGAGAAAATTATTTTCTCATTGGATTACAATTGTCAATCACGTTCCCATAAAATTCCAACATTCTCCTCATAGAGTTGAGAATTTTTTTAAAAAATTGTTTTTTTTGGGGGGGGGGGGTCTTAAATTTTGGACTTTTTCCTCCTGAAAACTTATTGGTCATAAATTACAAGTTTTTTTTTGAACTACAATTGTAATTCATTAATTTGGTTATTTTGGGGGTATTTTTTTTAAAATTCCGACATTTTTCTCACATCTCCCCTCGCAAATAAATTAATTGGCTGCGCCGCTCGTTTCTTCTGGTGCACCTCTTTGCGGCGTCGAAAGCGGAATGCGCTCGCAAAGCCGACAGGCACTTGAGCAAATGTGCTTTGTGTCTTTGCAGCAATCGGTGCGCCTCATCTCCTTGTGCAAGCGCCTGTCACGCTCCTTCCTGTCCAGAAGCAACGTGAGCGTGGCGCGCAGTGACGACACGCTGGTAACGCCCGAGCGCGCGCAAAGTGGCCGCCGAATGAGCCCCGACGCTTCATTGCAGCTCGGCCGTTGGGACTTTTGGACCTCACAAAATTGACCGTCTTTCTTTTTTTTTTTTGTCCGTCCAGGATGAGGAGGACTCGTTTGTGATGAAGGCCATCATCCACGCCATCAACGACGACAACGTTCCGGGCTTGCGGCATCTGCTGGGCTCGCTGAGCGGCTACGACGTCAACCAGCCCAACAAGCGCGGCACGCCGCCGCTGCTGGTCGCCGCCGGCTGCGGCGGCGTCGACGTCGTCCGGCTGCTCGTGGCCAAAGGAGCCTGCGTTCAAGCGCACGACAAGGTAGCGCGCTCGGTGCAATTTTTGCTACCTTTGCTCCCAATTGCGATTTAACGCACAATTGGAAATCTTCCCCAGTTTACACTGGATCTATTTACTCGCCTGTGTGTGTGGTTCCGCCAGAGCGGCGCCAACGCCATCTACTACGCGGCGAGACACGGCCACGTGGACACTCTGAAATTCCTCCATGCCAACAAGTGTCCCCTGGATGTCCAAGATAAGGTCGCCAAGCGAGCACGAATTCCATTTTTGCTCTTGCAGTGAGCACCCTCGCTCCACGTTGTCAGGCAAGCGGCGCGTGTGGACGGGGGGGCGTCAAGTGTGGCTTGGCTTTTGTCTCTTGCAGTCGGGAGAAAGCGCTCTCCACGTGGCGGCCCGCTACGGCAACGCCGACGCGGCTGGCTACCTGTGCGGCGCCGGCGCCGACCCGGACCTCAGCGACAGGGTGAGCCGGCCGCTTCCGGGTCCCCGGCGGGGCGGGGCTCGCTTCTCGGGGCTATTTTTCAAGGCGCCCTCTATCGCGTCCAGGAGCAAGAGACGGCTCTGCACTGCGCCGCCTGGCACGGCTACTCGGCTGTGGCGCGGGTGCTGTGCCGGGCCGGCTGCCGCGTGGACGCCAAGAACCGCGAGGGCGAGAGCGCCCTCCTCACCGCGTCTGCCCGCGGTTTCGTGGACATCGTGGAGTGCCTGGCGGAGCACGACGCCGACCTGGAGACCGTCGATAAGGTTGGAGGGGGAAAAAAATAGTACCAGCCCTTTTTCCAAAAAGCATCAGCAGGCAGAGTTTTGCCCATTTGGTGCTTTTCCACAAAGCAGTGTTGGAGTCAAGCAGAATGACGTCTTTCTCGCCGACCGTTTTTCTCAAGCGCTGGAAAACAACCAGCGCGGTCTACAAAGTGCGTGCTCTCATAACGCGACGCCCTCTCGGTCCTCCCGCAGGACGGCCGCACGGCCCTGCACCTGGCCGTGCGGCGCTGCCAGCTGGAGGTGGTCCACTGCCTGCTGGCGCGAGGCTGTCAGTTGGAGCGCCAGGATCGCCACGGCAACACGCCGCTGCACATCGCCTGCAAGGACGGAAACGTGGCCCTGGTCGCCGCGCTCTGCGCCGCCCGAGCCGTCCTCGACATCCCCAACAAGGTGACGCTTTGGCCCGCCGCCGTGACTAGCTCGCGGCTAACCTGAGCGCTCATCTCTGTTCCTTCCAAGTTCTTTGTGGTTTTTCTCGCGTTGACGAGGCCACGCTAGGTCGCCCTTTTTTTTGAATGAACAAAAGTCGGCCCGCTCGTTGCTGGCGAAAAACGGAAAACGACTAAGGCAGGTTGATGGAAATTAGCGCGGATGCTACGCTCATTCCAAACCTTCCAACAACTGCCACTTGGACGCGCACGCGGAGCAGCAACCCGAACAAACCCAACTCAAAGGCATATATGCACTGGAATGCAGATTTCGTTTTGTTTGGTGCCCCATTCATGGAACCAAAGTGTACCTTTGGCGCGAATGAGCGGATCCGAGTGTTACCGAGCATGTCCCGATCTTGACAACCTTCCTCTCGTTTGTTGCGTGTCGCCCGACTAGTACGGCCGCACCGCCCTCCACCTGGCGGCCGGCAACGGTGGCCTGGAAGCGGTGCGTCACCTCTGCCTGTGCGGAGCCAACACGGATGCCGTCACCAACGTAAGCCTGCCCGGCGTCGGGGGTTGGGGGGGGGCGCGGGGGGGTTGTGACCAAATAGCAGGGTTTCATTGATGATTCAACGCTCTCCCAACAGATGACAGAAGCAACATGCCTAGCCTATGCATCAATCTTTTTTGGGGGGGCGGGGAGACTATGAACCATCTTCAAGACACCACTGGAACAAATCAAATGAGGAAAGGACGTATGTTGCTTTGGTTTTTTTTTTCCAGGATGGCAAAAGCGCGGAGGACTTGGCTGCGGCGGAGCAACATGACGCTGTGGTGGCCTTGTTGGGGAAGCTTAAAAAGGTAAGCAGAGAGGACAAAAGGGGCGAGAGGGGGACTGACGGTTAGCGTTGGGGCAGCGGTCAAGTGGCACCCGCGCCGCCGAGCACCTTTTGGTCACCGGCGAGGAGGACGGCGCCACACCGGAAGAGACTCTTGGGCCCTCGGTCGGCGCGCGGAACGGCCGGTCAAATTCCCACCCGCGACATAGCCCCGAAGGCGTTCCGCCAAAGTCGGCGTATCCCGCCGAGCCGGCGTCAAGTTCCTTTTTGCCCCGCCCCGGCGGGGAGCAAATTTGTCACCGAATGCTTCGTGTCGCGCTGCAGGACAACCACAGGCTGGCCTTCATCCAGCAGCTGCGCCCCACGCAGACGGCGCAGCCGCGCATCAAGCTCAAGATCTTCGGCCAGCAGGGGGCGGGCAAGAGCGCGCTGCTGGAGTCGCTCAAGTGCGGCATCCTGCGCAGCTTCTTCCGCCGGCGCCGCACCGCGGCGCGCCCGAGCGACGCCTCGCGCCACCCCAACTCGCCGGTCAACTCCAAGCCCGCCGGTAGGTTGCGATTACGTGGAGATGACGTCCTTTCGTTTCCGAGACTTCCCGTACGAGGCTTTTGTGGGGGTCTGCCAAGGATCGCTGCGAATATCATGTTGCCGAGACAAACTGGCTTCACGGGCTGAACTTTCAACCTTTGAATTTGCTCCTTCGGCGCCCAAATGGACACGCGGGCTCTCTCCAAATGGTTTTTCATGCACAGTTTCTTCATCTTTTTTTTTCTTTGCGGGGGTTGGGGGGTCCTGCTCATGACGGTCACGCCGAGCAAACTTCCCGTTTCAGTATCGGCGAGCAACTCCAACTTGTACCCGGGCTGCGAGAACGTGAGCGTGCGCAGTCGCAGCATGATGTTCGAGCCCAGCCTGACCAAAGGCGCCCCGGAGGCGTTTTCGCCCGCGCACGGCGGCCTCTCGTCCTCTTCCGACGACGAGCAGGCCACCAGGGCCGTCGACGTCCAGCACGCCAACATCCACGGTGAGATGCGCCTCGCCCGCTTGTTGCCGCGCGCCGTCGCCCGCCACGCCAACGCGTTCGGGAAAGATTTCAAATGAAGTTGAACATTTGAAGGCTGGCTGGATGATGATTTTTTTTTTTTTTTTTCGATATTTGCAAATAGCAGGGGGCGGGGTTTTGTCCGTCTTCAAAATCAAGTCCGGCCCACTGATGGCGCGACCGTCCTGCCGTCTAGCCGCGGTGTTTAGGATCGGTTTCGTGCCGTGCGCGCCAATTGAGTTGAAACGGGCAACGGAAACGGCCGACGGAAACGGGCGACGGAAACGCGCGCGGCGAAGAAGCCTTGTTGAAAAAGCGGCTTCTGCATACGCCGCGTTCCATTTCGGTAGGCGTGGGAGATTTCAGCGTGTGGGAGTTCTCCGGCAACCCGGCTTACTACTGCGCCTACGACTACTTTGCGGCCGACGACGCTACGGCGCTCCACCTGGTGGTCTTCAGCCTGGAGGAGCCGTACGAGAGCCAGCTGAGCCACGTCGGCTTCTGGCTCAACACGCTCAAGGCCCTCACGCCGCCGCCGCCGCGCATCCGTGAGTCTCTCCGCTTCGGCTCGCGTTTCGGGCGGCGTTCGGCGGCGCAGTCACGCTGTCGCCGCTCGCAGTGTTCGGCGGGAGGGTCCGGCGGCCCCCGACGGTGGTCCTGGTGGCCACCCACGCCGACCTGGCGGACCTGCCCAGATGTTTCTCCGGAGAGTTCAGCTACAAGAAAGAGAGAGTGCTCCTCAAGGAACTTAGGAGCAGGTCAGGAATCTGCGAGAAAATAAGTCGTCGTTAGGCGGGCCAAAAATGACGGGTGTTCCCTTTCAGGTTTGGAAATGACCTGCAGATCAGCGACAAGTTGTTTGTGATGGACACCGGCGCCTCCAACTCCAAAGACATGAAGCTGCTGAGGAACCATCTGCAGGAGCTGCGCGCGCGCCTTATCTCTGTGGGCACCAACACACGACGGGGGG